AAAAGGTGGGAAAAAGGGGGGTGGGGGGGGGGGAGAAGAACTCTCTTAAGTTTCTAACGAAAGTAGATTTACCCATGCGTATCTTCATTTTTTTTTTTTAAAATAACATGTCATTTGCACGAGATACGGCAGTAAATTTTATCAGGCGAATGCATGGAGGTCATTCATTTGATAGGCCCTCAAACGAGAATCACACATGACAACCTGCATTAAGTTGCACAGCCTAGAGAACTAGATAGGCGCTAAGGGTTACACGGTTACAAGGCTTATGTAATTTTACAGCTGTCACAGATCAAATCTTGACATATCAGTTGTTTTCGGATAAGTATTGTGTTTTGGTAAGTTAGGATGAACAAGAAGTTAATTAGAGAATATGTGTCATGCGCAGAGGAAGCAAGAGGACGTGTAAAATGGCAGTCTGTTTTGCACAAGGGTTTAGCCGAGATTCAATGTACATCACATACCATCTTAATGTTGACCCAATAGATCTGAGTGGATTATCAATGTGAAGTGAATAAGTAAAATTACAATTATATTTTCTCTAATTTCAAGAACTTTATTTTATGCTGTGTCTATATATATACGGGTTTATTGACGATATATGACGGGTTTATTGACGATATATGACGGGTTTATTGACGATATATGACGGGTTTATTGACGATGATGCAAAATCTAATGCCGCGTGTTGTCAAATATCACGGAGGATTGTCAAATGTAAATAGATAAGGTAAATACTACAACAGATTAATACTGCAACTAAATTACAAGTAATAAACGTTATTGTACAACAAGAGCTTGTTACAACAACCAGGGGAAAAAATAATGAAATACATTCAAATACCAATGACTTAATAATTGTATATAAGATTTGAAACGAACACCTTGCACTTAATCAAAGTCCTAGTTTCTACCCTGCTCATCTTCCCCCTCCCACCCCCCCCCCCGCAAAGTTCATCAACTCCATCCCTATGACCCCCGTGATGACCACCGTGATGACCACCGTGATGACCACCGTAATGACCACCATGATGACCAAGCGATGACCACCGTGATGACCAAGCGATGACCACCGTGATGACCCCCGTGATGACCACCGTCATTACCACCGTGATGACCACCGTGATGACCATCGTGATGACCACCGTGATGACCACCATGATGACCACCGTGATGACCACCGTGATGACCACCGTGATGAGCACGTGATGACCACCGTAATGACCAGCATGATGACCACTGTGATGACCACCGTGATGACCACCATGATGACCACCATAATGACCACCGTCGTTGTCCGATCAACCGATCTCATGGTATTAATTTTTCTATTCCGTTTCAAACATTGTCTGAAAAGCTGAAGACATATTTAAAACTGAAAGGATCAACTTTTTTACTTTCTACATTCATTTCAATCAATTCTCCAACGATCTGTTCGAGTGTCTCATCATCTCAACTTGCTTGTCTTGTGAACTTAATATGTTTCTCGTATACTATGAGTATGAGTTTGGCAAGCCATGCTGACATTTCAATATAGAAAAAGGTGGGAAAAAGAGGGTTGGGGGGGGGGGAGAAGAACTCTCTTAAATTTCTAACGAAAGTAGATTTACCCATGCGAATCTTCATTTTTTTTTTTTAAAATAACATGTCATTTGCACGAGATACGGCANACCCAACTGGCCCCCCCCCCCCCCCCAATCGAGGAATGCAACCGCACAATTTGTTCACGCCTCTGAACAATATTAATATTCTAATGACCCATCCTCGTTTACACTGCAGTTTTATTTCACCAACAATTTTAGAAAAAAAAAAAAGAAAATATTGTGCACCAAACTCACTTGCAACATTTAAAAAAAAAAAGGAATCTTGTTTAGCGCAGCTATTGGGATTTTATTTTATCTTCCCCTTTAGAAACAGGAAAAACATATTTTGGGGGGTTGGAATTGGGGCTGAAAATTTAAAAGAATGTGCTGTCATCGGCAACGAGTCTATGTGCCAAGTTTCAGCTCGATAGCTTGACGGGAAGTGGGTCAAATGGCTGTCCGAAGATTTTGCCACACAAGGAGTGAGTCAACCAGCCACAGACAAAAGCGAAGCTGATATAAAGGATTTAGAAAGATACCATGCTATAAATGGAGCTTCCGGAAATGTTTTCAGTTAGTTTTGACTTCAAAATTCAACACGTATTTATTTCGCAAATGATATTACAATACAGCTCTACTCGGATCTCGAAAGCAGTTTAAAAACTTTGTCATTCTCTTTGATAGTTGTAAATTGTTGGAGTTACACAATCGTATCTGTTGGTATTTGGTGAGAAGATGGGGCTAGTTGGTTGGGGGGGGGGAGGGGGCAGGGGTGGAAGTTCGGGTAGATGTTGGGAAGCAAATACCAGAAAACTATTCCAACTTTCTCACAATCCAAAAATATAAAAACCAATGTGTGTCCCAATGTGTGTCCCCCAATGTGTGTGTCCCACTGTGTGTGTCCTAGTGTGTGTTTCCCCATGTGTGTGTCCAAATGTGTGTGTCCCAACGTGTGTGTCCCCATGTGTGTGTCCCCATGTGTGTGTCCAAGTGTGTGTGTCCCAATGTGTGTGTCCCACTGTGTGTGTCCCACTGTGTGTGTCCCACTGTGTGTGCCCCAATGTGTTTGTCCCAACGTCTGTGTCCCCATGTGTGTCTTAGTGTGTGTGTCCCAATGTGTGTGTCCCAAGGTATGTGTCCCCATGTGTGTGTCCCAATGTGTGTGTCCCAATGTGTGTGTCCCACACCAGATTTTAGCTTATGTGCCATCATTTTTGGAAGCGACAGCTTTGCACAGAAAGAATTATCTTGGTAAAGTTGTATGTTTCATACTCTGTAAAATAAAGCACCATACGTGTATAACTATAACGTAAGAATCTATTTGTACTCCATGCACTCAAAATTTCGTAGGAAATTGTCCAAACCCAGCTCGGTTCCAATCAGTTCGAAATACAGACACATTACTGCACACATTCTTGACTCATTCCCGTTGACGGTAAAGTCACCGAGTTCTAGACCAAAAAAAAATTTAAAAAATCTAATTGCACTTTGAAACATTCAAGTTTCCATGCTCTCAGTTTAAATGTGAACTCATTAAAAATTCAAGTGTCTTTGGTGGGCGTCTAAGAGATGGGGAAAAACCCCAATTTAATCCAAACCCGTTTTATCTTTAAAATAATAGGAACCAACTCATGCAATTTATTGGAGATCACTAGAAGAAGCGCCCCAGGGTTAAAGTAGCAGGGCGGGGCGTCGC